GCCGATAGAAAGAAGAAAGAAAGGAAAGAAAAAACGAAGCCAATCTTTGTTAACCAAAGCAAAAAAAAAAAAAAAGAGGGATACAAATTTCTTTTTTTTTTTTTTGTTTGAACGAGACAAAAAAAAAAGAAAAGACGAGGAAAAAAAAAGTATCAAAAAAAAAGAAAGAGAAGAACGATTAATTGAGTGGAATAAGGAAATCTGAACAACAAAAAAAGCAGAAAAAGGAACACCCAACGTTCGGCAACTTCAGCTTCAATGTTTGACCACAGCAGTCATCTGTCGTCGTTTGCCGATTTCAATAGTCCATTTATGAACGGTAGTCCATTCATCAATCCATCGTTATCAACATTTTCATTTGATACAGGTAACTGACAACTTAAGTTTATTTTTTTTTCTCCATCTTCTTCTCTTCTTTTTTTTTTCTTGCTGCTACCGATTGATGAGGTGATAAAGTAGAAAAAAAAAAACAAAAAACAGAAACGTGAGAAGGCTACAACAAACAGTAATCGGTATTTCTTGACACAGTACAGATTTAGCATGGGTTTTTATAATCAAATTTGTTTCATTAAATTGTGTAAAAATAACATTTTATTGGTAAAATTATAAAGCTTATTTTTTCCTTCTTTCTTCCTGCAATATTCTTATTGCATTTTTTTACCTTCTCAAAACAAAGAAAGATTATAATTGTATAATTTATTGTTAGTTGTTGATACAGATACAACTTAATTTTTTGTTTATTGTTGCTGTCAGCCGCTCGCCTATTTGATGGCGACAACTGATTCTTTTCACCAGCGAATCTTCTGAATACTTTTAAGTATTTCTTACCCTGTATTATCAGAACTTCTGGGGTTTCAGATTGCTCCAGTTTAATAGTATCTTTAAAGCTTTTTCTAAACAGTGGTAGAACTATACGACTTTGGTTTTGTGCTTAAACACAGCCGCATAGATTAGTCTCATATCTAAAGTTTCAACTACTGACTACAGAAAGGGTTAAGAAATTTGGTAGTTGAGCTATGGAATGGTCGTCAAAGAGTTTGTCTTACTATCACTGAATATTCCAAAAGTTTGAGTGATCAGTCTTCAATCAGGAATCATAACCGCATCTTCAGTAATTATTAAATTTGCAGTTCTCTGCATTATCGTTATTGTCTACCGGTTAAATTTTACAAGAATATCTCTTCGATTATTACTATATTTTGCAATCTAAGCAAATATTTTTAGCACACAAAAAAATTATAACCTATGTTCAATTCAGAATGTTTTCTTTTTCTAAAGCTGTTTCTGATTTTACTGTCGAAGGATGTACGAATGTATTGTATGTTGTATATTGTAAGCATTAAAGCAGTTTACGGACTGTGAAAAAAGACCGAATAAGTTGGTGTTCAGTCAAGAAAAAAGAACAAAAGTTTTATTGATTAAACAAAACATTAGTGATGAGTTAAAACCACCAAATTTATCTTAAATTTTTTTTGTACCGCTTTTTTTTCTGCTTTTATCGTTTTTTAATTGAGTTTTAATGATTATTTTAAAATTGAGATATCGTTGTGCTTTTTGGGACAAACATAATTTTTTTTCCTATTTTTGATTCTTATGGTTTATACAATTTTTGGAGAAAAAATTGGAAGTGAAAAAAAAAAAAGAAAAAAAAATTTCATTTTCTTTTATCAACTTTGGATTCTGCCAACAACAATTAACATCAACTTTCCAAATTCTGATTTTTAGTGCTCTCTCTAATCAACGACTGCTTTTTTTTTTGGTTTTGCAACAAAACAATTAATGAAAATTAATTTGTTTTTATTTGTTTGTTTCAATAGAGGGGGACTTTTAATTCTTTGCTGATAACAATCTGTTTTCTGAATACAGTTTTTGATGATGGTAAATGAGGCAGCAAAAAAAAAATTGGAGTAATCGGGAAGTAATTATTTGGCAACAACTGAATTGTTTGACAGTTTTTATTTGAAGATTATTTAAAGACAGAGGGAAAAAAAGTGCAACAAAAAAAAACTTTTTTTTGCTTAATCTCCATTTCTTTTCTAATCTCTATGTAACATAAATTACGGCATACCCACAAACACACATATACCTAAAGAAAAAAAAAAGAGAGAGAAAACCAACTACAGTTAAAATCGTTTAATGTTTATTCGTTATGTGTAAACATCATTTATATCCAGTAAATTTTTCATAAATTCACTCTCAACATTACTGTAGACTGAAACAATGAAACATCTACTTGACGGCAATCATAGTATCGGTGATGCTAAGCTTAAAAGTTATGTCATTTTAGCGTACAGTCTTAGATTTGATTAGTCTACAGATCAGCAACACTAAAACTTGATTCCTGTTTTTCTTTTTTTTTTGATCATTATTCTACAGTTAAGGCATAGTAACTGCTCAGCAGAACAGTCAAGGCACGGTATCAGAAAAGATCATCAATATTCAGTTACTGCATTGACTGTCAACAGGAGCGACAATGTTTAAGTGCAGAACGTACTGAATTGTGGTTTACAGAAAAATAGTTGTTAAATGCCTGTAATTTTCTTTTTTTTTTCTCTTTAACTATGCAGTAAAAAAATTTTTTTTTTAGGTTCACCATTTGATCGTTTATTTCCGTTATCGTCTGAACAACCATTTAGCGACATAAACTTTGGTCGTCTGATAAAAGATGTGTTCAGTACACCGACAACTGGTGTTGTTCACAATATTCCAATCAAAATTGAAGGGGTAAGTTTGCTTTTTATTTTTTGGCTTTCAGATGCTTAGATGCTTACCATGACAAATGCAAACAACGAGTGTGGTAACACAGTAAGCGTAGTATTTTGATTGTAAGAAAACAAAAAAAGAAAAAAAAATTTTAGGAAACCAATTATTCAAACGTTTCTGGTCATTTCACACTCGTTGTTTTCTTTCTTTATTTATTTTTTTTTTGCCATCTGTTTGACGGTATTTATCAGTTTCTAAACTTCGTCTGTCTACGGATTAATTCTGGTTGCCTTTTTTTTCGTCGCCGTCGTCGTTGTCGTCGTTTATACACAGTGACATCCAGTAACTTCTCATTGATGTAGATACATAAATGTTTTTGTTCAATAAGAGCACAATTCTTCTTTCCCATCAGTTTTCCCGGTGCAAAAACAAAAAGGAAAAGAAAAGAAAAAACAAATCAATGAATAGTTGTTACTCGTATTTTTCTAAAAATTATGGCTTTTTCTTTTTTCTGTTTCTTTTTTCCGTTACAGTTTGCAGAAAGTTTAGCATTTATATTTGAGAAAATAATAGCAGAAAAGAAAAACGAAAGCGTGTTCATTTTGGAATGAAAAACTTTGAATGCTCAAAGCGACTAATAGCACTGTGTGATAAGGACAGAAACAGAGGATTTGAAGGTTGGGGTGGTGAGGTGCGGTGGAGAGGGTGGGAAGAAGCAGCAAACATAAAATCAGAAGAGTTTATATACTTGCTTTACGCTGAAAATATTCTTCACTTAGATGGTGTTCAAGAAAAAAAATTCATTTATTTTGAAAAATTCAAAATACACCGACTAAATGGATTATTGTTTTCAAAATAAGTCTTCTGAATGCGGTAAGTTGAAAAAAGAATATAGAAGAACGGAAAAGAGGGGGAGCGGAAGGAAATAGTTGTCGGTGAAAGCAAAAAATGCACGATAAAACTGCTGTTTCTTTCGGTTAACTTTTTGTTTTGCATTTTTTTTCTTTTTTTTTTTTTTTTTTTTTTTTT